CATCTCTCTTTTTTGTAGTTCATATATACAACACCAACCTTTGCAACACTGTCCCACACTCCGCTGTACTGTTTGTGTGTATGAAGACAGCAGTCCATCTCAGTCCCACACAGCAGGGTGAAATGGCATCTCAAATCCTCATAAATATCTCCATCCATTTGCTGAGGAGGTCAGACACTAAAGGTCATTTTTCAAACATTTTCTACTGAGTTTCTGCTGAAGACTAATCACCTATGTTATGTTTTTTTTGTGTAACTGTGTTCTCATTAAATACAGTACAGGCAGCAGGCTAAACGCTACATGGCAAAACAGTCATTCAAACACTTGTGGTGACACTAGTTCCTTAAAAAAGTAGCCATGAAGCTTTTTGTGAAAGGACATTTTGATCCATTCCATCTGTAAAAATGTCAATATCGAGGAAATAAATGTAGCACAGTGACTGTGTTAGTGTATGTGGATTACCTCCATAATAAATGGTAAGTCGTTTGTGTAGTAGTGCTGCCGATGCGCTCTGACTGCTGCTAATGTCAGCAGATACTCATTACGAACTTCAGTCAAGCGGTCATCACACTCTTTGAGTCTGGCAGTGAGCTGCAAACATGTAAGTGAGCACAAACACAATGTCACACAAACAGGCAACATTTATACAAGTCTATAATTCAGCAGTGTGTGCTGTGTAATAACCTTTTCATTCCACTTCACAAAAACACAGCCTGCATCCCAGGAGGTCAACCACCACCTTGCTCAGGACCCCAGTGCCTGTCCCTGTGGGGGACGGCCCACAAGGTGGTGGAACCAAACTGACGGCCAAGCCTGACAGCTTCTTGTTGAAGTGCTGTAGCTCATTTGGGGTTTTGTTTTAATCTCTTATTGTGGCCCCGCCCCTGGGACCACTTTGCTTTGGGAGACCCTACCAATGACCTCAAAAGGAGTCTCGGAAAAATAGGAGTCATCTGATTATGATGCCTCCTGGGATCATTCTTTAGGGTGTTTTGTTGTTGTTGTTTATATCCTAATGCAGAGGTGGCAAAAGTGCAGACATTGTGTACTTAAGGTGAAATACAGATAATAAGTGTTAAAAAAAAGTTGGACTACTGATTCTTTTCTGTACTCAAGTAAAAAGTGAGAAAGTACAGACTCAGATTAAGATCTTTGAAGGAGTTGTTTTTGTGCAAACGTAACTGAACCTTATATTAATGTAATAATAAAATAATATTATCAGATAAAAATACAAACTTTATTCTAGTCTCAATTTTAATTCTAATACATGTACTCAGCTTGAGTATTTGGAGGAAAGGAAACCAGAACTCATGAGAGGTTAAACATTTAGTCTGATCTGGAAGCAAATGGACATACTGGGAGAGGAAACCCAGAACACCCAGCTTAGCCTGCTGCTACTATGACCCAACATTGGTTAACAGGAAGAAAATGGATGGATAGAGTGATAATATAATTTTGTTTGCATTAAAGGAGAGGGAACCTAGAGAGATTATCCTGGGACAACTCATAATCACAGGGGAGAAACCACTTTACACCAGGACACAGGTCAGCATAGAAATAAGATTTCAGCCGCTCATTCATCCATACCTTAGTGGTCGTTTTATGGAGTCCTGTTTTAAAGTGAAAAATTCCATGTTCACTTTTTCTAGCTCTGGAAGAGAAAGTGAAATCGTATTTATGTCATTCAAGACAAGAGAAAACTACAGCACTTAACATATTGCTTCATATTTATTTTAATGCTCTATATACATGTAGTGGTTAAAATAGAAGTTGTTCAATCTGCAAGCTGAGCTCTTATTGGCTGAACTCCCATCGGCAGTAGTAACTTTTTTACTGTTTTATTAAAGAAGTCGTGACAATAATATTAGTAATAGTTTAAGAGTACAAGTGTAGAGTAAAATATATAGAAGTGACAAACATTGTTCCCAAATGTATTTAATACAACCTTAAAAATCAGACTTTTAGTTACTTTTAAAATATTTTAAAACAAAATGAAATGCTGGTCAAAAGTCTCAGCAGAAGATTCAAACCTCCGTATTGAAACACAGACCTGGCCTGTGCATCTGCAGTTTTCTCACGTGCAATACTGGCAATGTGACTGAAGTCGTGGTAGCACTTCTTGACCCTTTGAAGTTCCCGTAGAGCATCCACCACTTCAGCCTGCACCCTCTGCAGCCGTTCCAGGCCCTAACGCACATATGCACACAACCCAAAGGCATCAGATTGCACTTGCATAAATTTCATACATTTTTTAAGCTAAATTAAACTGAATTAAATCACAACAACAGTTGAATTGAGGCACTTTATATTGTAAGGTAAAGACCCTAGAGTAACTGAGAGAAAGCCCATCAATTAAACAGCCCGGTTTAAACAAGCGCTTTGACAATATTGGGAAGGAAAACCCTTTAAACAGGAAAACGCCTCCTTTAGAACCAGGATCAGGGAGAGGCAGCCATCTGCCACAACCGTTTGGGGATGAGGGGAGGAAGGCAGGAAAAAAATGTTTCATTATTTGAGTGATGTTTAGAAATGTTTCATCTGTGTGTACTGTCTCACTCTCTTAGCCCGGACATCCTTTGCATTGCGGAGACTTTTGGAGACTTGCCCACTGAGTCGACGGTATTCTTCTGCAGCGAAAAGTCTCGATGCCGCAGTCTGAGCTGTAGCATCGACCACAGATCGCCACACGCTGAACACACTCCTGAAAGCACACAAACTGCATTCATATCACCACCAACAGACACCTTCCACCATGTCAGATACTATTAACACACACAGGGTGGCCTTTTGTAGCAATTCTTAGTCTCACCAATCACTGCATTATTAGACAGAGAGATGTGCGACACCCATTCATTCACACACTGTTGTGTGCTTTAATCTTAAAGCCTTTTAGACTCCTCACATCCACAGATCACCAGTTAATTAACCATGCATGTTTTGGGAGATAGCCAAAGTACCCAGAGGAGAGCCACACCAAAGGGTTTGCAAACCTTATTACAGACACATGGATAGATAAAGTTGAGTATCATCTGCACATCAGTGTAAATGTATGCTATGTCTTCTAATGTTACTGCCTAAGCGAAGCATGTATAATGTAAACAGAACCGATCCTTGCACAGAACCCTGTGGAACCTCACTATGTTAAGACGACTCTCTATTTACATCAACAAATTAGAGTCTCTTAGACAGATATGATTCAAAACATTGCAGCTAAAGCGTAAACCACTGAGATGAGTCCACTGTCAGAGGCCACAAGAACATCGTTTGTAGCCTTTAAAGCTGTTTCTGTGCTGTGATGAGCTCTGAAACCTGATGTACATTAAAAGATCATATTTAAGATCGAAGCATTAATTAATAGTAGGACTTGGGAATATGGTCTAAAAGACTGAAGTTAACTCAGATCAGCTGCAGTCAACATATATTTCAATAGTATTGAAAGTAGTTGAAGAGAAACCTTCAGTCAATAATGAATCAGTAATCAATAGTAAGGCGGTCTAGCTGTTTTATAAAGCAACAAACTCTTTTTTCAGGCTAAACGATGCTCTTCTAAATTAGTCATAAGCCATTTATTATCTGCTATAAGGTACATGTTTGAGAGGTTTATTCTAGAGAGAGACAAGTTATTTCAACATAAGCATCAGCACATTGCTGATCTAAAAGTATTTTATTTCCTTTGGTAATAACTTTTGTTCACATATTAATAATATTACATATAATATTATTCTGCTTTATGTACATTAAGTAATTGAATGCAGTTCCTCAAATGGGCAACAAGTCAAATGTGATATATATATCAAGAGATTACAACAACAAAATATTTCCACATTACCACTGCTGTCCAATTACTGTTTTTGCACAAACTACAAAAAAGTTCCTGCAGAATCATCCGTTTTTCTTAACACGTCTGTTTTGCTGATGTAACTTCCAAACAGCAAAAAGAGCCAATCGAGTGTTTGGTTTTTCAAAGTAAAATCAACAATCAATAACAGCTGCTAAGAAGATTGCATGCTGTAAAGTTGTGTAGTTACCCAGAAGTGATCACATCTGTATTTCCTCTCTGCCAGTCTCTCTTTTGGTACTGGACAGCTAACCTTTGAAGAGCCTGAAAAAACACAAGAAAAAGTGCATCCTCTATAACATCCAAAGGAACTTTCCTTACACAGGGATGTGATAAATGTAATAAAATGTGTGAATTGAGTTTTTTGTTTTGGTAACTTGTTAAATGGACTGGCACTTATATAGTACTCCTCCTAAGAGCCTCCTTCACACATCACACAGCCTTTCAACACCATCATACGCACACTCACAGCCCAATGGATGCATTAGGGGAATTACAGGCTCTTACACAGGGACACTTCAGCCCGTGGACTGAAGTAGCTGTGATCAAACCACCGAGTTTTATTACATGACCCACTGGACCCTCTGGAGATGGAGCTTACCTTCTTACATTAGGGTTTTTGTAGCAAGACAAACATAAACTAAACTAAGGAGCTGGCGCTCCTAATTTTGCTGTTGTAGCCCCCTGAGATTTGCTACATATTCCCTTTGGCTCTTTCCACCGGGCAGCTCAGTTTGCTTTTTACAGCTATAAATGTTGTAATATGATCAACAGTTGTCAGTGTTAACGATTTAATAGTATTTCAGCAAAGGTAGGAGAATGCTACTTTGTTGTCCTCTAACCAGGCACACATGCATGCATACAGACACACATCCACTCACATACTTTTCAGATGTTCTATGTGAAACATTCTACACCACGGTGTGAAAACACATAAAGCTCTGAGCTGAAACCAAGGAGATTTGTAACATTAAGTGAGAGAAACAGTGACTTTGTCCTCAGCAGAGACACTCCACAGCAAACCTACTTCTGTGGTTTGTACCTGACTGAGACTAGGTTAGAAGTCAACCTTCAGACTGCTGAACATAGACCGTCACCTTTCCAGCTTGGTGTCAAAAAATCCTCCCCATTTAGGTACAAGGCCATACATGGGGTAAAAGATGCACGCCTGAGCCTTTCAGACTCTGTGACAAAATATGGTGGCTTGCTAGCATTAATCTAAACACTGCAGGCACCTTAACTTTAAACTGCAGCTCAAAACTGCAGCTCAAATCTTCTGAAACTTCTGTAACATCCTTTGAAACTGTGCATAGTATGCAGCTAAAATGCAACCTAACCCTCCCTGCACCTAAGTGGTTTGCTGACTAGCTGATGTGCAGCAGAAGCAAAGTAATAACACTTTTCGGCCAAGGTAAACTAGACTCACACAACTACCTCTTTGCCAACACCGTGGCATCAAAAGCCAGAACAGCAGCAACAAATGTAGCACCTTTATACCTTCACTTCAACACCTTCAGCCCGAGGTAGAAACCACTTTTTCTCACTCCACTTAAAAAATAACAGAGTTAACCAAATAACCCCGTCCACCCTTACCAGTGTTAGTTACTCTCACCAGGTAGGTTTAAAATGTCATTAATTTACATTTTATATTTATTTCCAGGATATCAAATGTCCTAAAAATATTATTATTTTATTACTTTTAGAACTAATCAATGCAAACAGTAGAAAAAAAACATTAGACAAAAGCCTAATAAAATTGTGTGAGGACACACACACACATACACAAACCCTGTGTGTGTGCAGACGTCACACAAGTCAAAACCCAATCCAGCACTCAGGTACTAATGTGGGTCTCAAATCAATATATTTTGAGCATTTCCAGTAAACAATGAAAAGTAACAGCAGCAGACAGGACTAGAATAGATCCTGTTTACTCACCTGACCGTATTCTTTCTCTATAGCCGCGCGATGCTTACTGAAGGACCTTTGGGAGCAAACAGAAAACAACACATGACACATAGGACATGTGTAACGTAACACCTGCTCATGAGACAGACAGTGTGTCATACCTGATCTCCTCCAGCAGTTCGGTGTCCAGATGCTGTTTGGTCTGCAGCTTGTTGAGCTGCTCTGAGAACACCACTTTCATCTGCTGGCTCTCCTTTACCTGTTCACACACGGGGCAGCTGTGCAGTAAGTCTCACTGATAAAAGATGATATTGGTGGGCTTTGTTTCGCCGGACGTTTTTCAGATTATAACTTCATTGCTGACTATGGTGGTTCCCACTAATGGACACCCAGTAATGTTTGGCCTGACTTGGAACTGGGAGAGCTTCATAATAAAAAACAACCTCCTTGACCAAAGCCTAATGACTAAAACAACATTCACTAGTCGACATTAGTTGCTGGTTTATGCCACGTTATGCTGTGACAACAAAAAGTGCACAACAACATTTTACAGATTCCTAAAATTATATTTAATATAGTATATACAATAATTACAATTACAATAATTTTACATAATATAGTTATTGTGACCTAAAATGACAGCCAGGTGCAGGGTACAAGGCTATTTTATAGGTCAAACAATGCTAACCTGTGACACAAATACAGCAGTCTGGTGTATGGTTTAGATAATTAAACCTTATTAAACAGTGTTATGTAATTTTCTGTTGTTGTTATCTCTGTAATGTATCATTCTATTGCTGTAGAAGAGAAAAACCCCACAGAAAGGTACAGCACCTTCTAGCTGAAGACAACAAACATTGGAAAGCTTCATTTACATTTCCAATTACTGTAACTAGTCCCAAACTTAGCTTTGAGCAGGTCATGCACATTACTGCCTATTAACGCGTTTAGCTAGCTTATTCATCAGTCGAGCATTCAGCTTAGTTGTTGTGGCTGTTAACACTTGTATCGAGAGCCAACACCTCAGCTGATACAAACCCAGTAACCTCCCAGTTTGTTTCATTTCTTTAGCTTTTGGGTTGCAGGGAAAACAAAAGCGGACAAAACATTCAATGAGGCCAAACATGGCACAGTGAATGATGTCATAAAATAATTATTTTCAGAAAAAGTGAACACCAACCAGGAGTCAGTGTAGTGCAGTGTGAATATTTTACTCATTCACATCAGATTCTTGGTATCTTACCTTTCTCGGTGGTGGCTGCATGTTTGGATGTAGCTGGCAGCTGTTCTCTCCGTTATGGCGTTAGTTTGTTGCACTTCTTGTGCGCCGTTACTTCCTTTATAGTTTCACTAATGCACATGTGCAACTCTCTCTCTCTCTCTCTCCTTCGCGCGCTCTCCCACGCGCTCTCTCTCAGATTGCTGTTTGGCTTGAAATCCTCTAGAGGGCAGCAGAGTAACACTGGTTTGAAGAGTCCATGTTATTACTAATAATTCTTCTGTATCACCAAAGGAAAGCTGTTGAAAAATAGTAACCAACTAATAATAGTGTCTGTAACGAGGTCTGGGATTTTGTGTCCCATTGCTATGCACATTCAAAAGCTTCCATCAAAACAGCTTCTCTGGAGCCTGCTTGGTCAGGGAGGATGAAATCAGTTTTTCTGTGTTATGCACACAGCATGGTGAGCACTGAGTATTGTGCTACAACAGACGTAAAAATGCTGAACAAAAAATGCATCCCATACAACTAAACTGTATTCTCAGTTATGTTTACAAGACTGTTCATTGTTCAACACACTGACTTACTCAGGCTACAGTAACTTTGCATCAGCACCTGTCTTGGTCTGCGGCGGGTGGCTGGAATTTCCATAAGGCTCCTGAACTTACCTGGGATCCGCCCCTGGGCAGGGCCAACTCCTCCAGCTCCTGCACACCTGGAGCCTATTGCAGGCGATCAAGCCAGAAGGATTTAAGCCACACGTTGATGTTCATTCACTGCCAGTTCGTCATCAACACATGTTGGTAACAGGCCTTATACTTCAAGTTCTTGCTGTGATCTATCTTGTTAACCAGACTCTCTTGTGCTGCAGTTGCTGTATTTACCTTGGCTCACGCTCCACCTCCGGACTCAGGATACCAAGCAATCATTTTGAAAATCTCTCTGTGCCTCACCTGCCTGCCCTCCTGCCATCACACTCCATCTGAAGCCCCGGATCTCAGGTCAGCCTTTCCACGCCACTCAGCCCTCCCTGGATTCTCATCACCCCCCTCTCAACACTCCATGTCCCCTACTGCCAGTAAGAATTGCTACTCTTACAACTTGCCACTTCAGAGCTGCCTCCACTACCTCCCTAACTCCACTATCTTCTCTCTTCAGTGTGACTGCTCCCTGCTCAGCTCCACTCAGCATCTCAGGCCTCATTCCCTCGCCCTAGCCACGTTTCCCAAGCCACGCCTCGTCAAACTCCACGTCTTATTGTTTTTTTTTCTTTGCTACGTTTTTTGCACTTAAGCCTAATAAATTGTTACATCATCTGCTGTCTCTGCTCTGGGTTTCTGCACCTGAGTCCTGTTCAGTACAGGCCACTCGGCCCCGTGACAGCACCACCTGCATATTGGACTCTCCTCTTTCCTGCTCACATCCTTTACTTATTTCTAAATTTCTGATATGTATTCTAATATCTGTAGGTACTATTGTGTGTATTTATATTAAAATCTATGTGGCGAATGGTTGTCTATATATATATTTCATCTAAAACGGTCACATGATTTTTAATCAGGTTTAGCCAGATAAGCAGCTGAGATAGACCCCAGAAGCCTGAATGTTTCCCAAAGCTAACCAAAATTACTCCGAGAGTACATCAGGAGTTTATCTGGAGTGTCACAGAAGAACCCAGAACAACATCTAAATAACTGCAAGCCTCAGTTATCTCAGTCAGTGTTTGTGTTTTTCTGTGATAGCAGTCTGTGGACTGATGACACAAAATGACTTTTTGGAAGGTTTGAGTGCTGTTACATCTGGACTAAAGCTAGCACAACGTTTCATAAAAAGAACATGACACCAAGAGTCAAACGTGGTGGTCTGGGGAGCCCAAAGTAATTGATGGAACCACGAACTTTACTGTCTATCAGAGAATTATGAAGAAGGATATCCATGCATCAGCTTTTGTCTGACGTTCAAGCGCACTTGAGTTATAAACTAGAACAATGATCCAAACAATACGCCCACTTTCGAATGCCCGATAAAAACCGAAGCAGGAATCCAAACAGACATTGTTCAGAGTGAAATAAAGCAATCGTGCTCTCCTAAATGTCACAATCAATGACAGTAATTCCATGGACTCTGAAGAAAGACCCAATTTGCAGCATAAAATTTAAAAAGCTATATATTATATGCACTCAGGTTAAGTGGTGGCTAAAGGCTTAATCTGAA